CAATTAAGCAATTATGCCCATGCAACTTCCGTGCAATTTTTTTTATGCGCAATCTGGAACAAATTGAGTGCCAAATTTCTATATTAAGTTGTGCCTGAATGGGATTTCAGTAACTTTGTGCTTAATTAACTGCAAGTGAATTAATTTATTCCATTTGGGCATCAGATACCCACATAAGCGCCCGTTAGGCGCATGCAACTTTGTTTATGCGCAATTTGGAACAAATTAAGCCCCAAATTTCGACATTAACATTTGTACTCGAATGGGATTTTTATAGCGTCGTGCTTAATTAATTGCAATTAAGCAATTATGCCCATGCAACTTCCGTGCAATTTTTTTTATGCGCAATCTGGAACAAATTGAGTGCCAAATTTCTATATTAAGTTGTGCCTGAATGGGATTTCAGTAACTTTGTGCTTAATTAACTGCAAGTGAATTAATTTATTCCATTTGGGCATCAGATACCCACATAAGCGCCCGTTAGGCGCATGCAACTTTGTTTATGCGCAATTTGGAACAAATTAAGCCCCAAATTTCGACATTAACATTTGTACTCGAATGGGATTTTTATAGCGTCGTGCTTAATTAATTGCAATTAAGCAATTAAGCGCATGCAACTTCCGAGCAACTTTTTTTGATGCGCAATTTGGCACTTACAAATTAAGTGCCAAATTTCTATATTAAGTTGTGCCTGAATGGGATTTCAGTAATTTTGTGCTTAATTAACTGCAAGTGAATTAATTTATTCTATTTGGGCACCAGATACCCACATAAGCTCCCGTTAGTCGCATGCAACTTTATTTATACGAAATTTGGAACAAATTAAACGCCGAATTTCGACATTAACATTTGTGCTACAATGGGATTTTTCTATCGTCGTGCTTAATTAATTGCAATTAAACAATTTAGAGCATGCAACTTCCGAGCAACTTTTTTTTTATGCGCAATTTGGGACAAATTAAGCACCAAATTTCGTCGTTAACATTTGTGCTCGAATAGGTTTTCAGTAACTTTGTTATTAATTGACTGCAAGTGAATTAATTTATTGCATTTGGGTACCAAATAGCCACATACGCGCCCGTTAGGCGCATGCAACTTTATTTATGCGCAATTTGGAACAAATTAAGCGGCCAAATTTCGACATTAACACTTGTGCTCGAATGGGATTTTTATAGCGTCGTGCTTAATTAATTGCAATTAAGCAATTAAGAGCATGCAACTTCCGAGCAACTTTTTTTTTATGCGCAATTTGGGACAAATTAAGCACCAAATTTCGTCGTTAACATTTGTGCTCGAATAGGTTTTCAGTAACTTTGTTATTAATTGACTGCAAGTGAATTAATTTATTGCATTTGGGTACCAAATAGCCACATACGCGCCCGTTAGGCGCATGCAACTTTATTTATGCGCAATTTGGAACAAATTAAGCGGCCAAATTTCGACATTAACACTTGTGCTCGAATGGGATTTTTATAGCGTCGTGCTTAATTAATTGCAATTAAGCAATTAAGAGCATGCAACTTCCGAGCAACTTTTTTTTTATGCGCAATTTGGGACAAATTAAGCACCAAATTTCGTCGTTAACATTTGTGCTCGAATGGGTTTTCAGTAACTTTGTTATTAATTGACTGCAAGTGAATTAATTTATTGCATTTGGGTACCAAATACCCACATACGCGCCCGTTAGGCGCATGTAACTTTATTTATGTGCAATTTGGAACAAATCTAGCACCAAATTTCGACATTAACTTGTGGCTGAATGAGATTTTAGTAACTTTCTGCTTAATTAACTGCAAGTGAATTAATTTATTCCATTTGGGCACCAAATACCCACATAGGCGCCCGTTAGGCGCATGCAACTTTATTTATGCGCGATTTGAAACCCATTAAGCGACAAATTTCGACATTAAAACCTGTCATTGAATGGGATTTTAGTAACTTTGTGCTTAATTAACTGCAGTGAATTAATTTATTCCATTTGGGCATCAGATACCCACATAAGCGCCCGTTAGGCGCATGCAACTTTATTTATACGCAATTTGAAACAAATTAAGCGCTAAATTTCGACATTAACATTTGTGCTCGAATGGTATTTTTATAGTGTCGTGCTTAATTAATTGCAATTAAGCAATTAAGCACATGCAACTTCCGAGCAACTTTTTTTATGCGCAATTTGGCACAGATTAAGCACCAAATTTCGACATTAACCTGTGCCTGAATGGACTTCAGTAAGTTTGTGCTTAATTAACTGCAAGTGAATTAATTTATTCTATTTGGGCACCAAATACCCACATAAGCTCCCGTTAGTCGCATGCAACTTTATTTATACGCAATTTGAAACAAATTAAGCGCCAAATTTCGACATTAACATTTGTGCTCGAATGGTATTTTTATAACGTCGTGCTTAATTAATTTCAATTAAGCAATTAAGCGCATACGACCTCCGAGCAACTTTTTTTATGCGCAATTTGGAACAAATTAACCACCAAATTTCGACGTTAACATTTGTGCTCCAATGGGATTTTTCTAGCGTCGTGTTTAATTAACTGCAATTAAGCAATTAAGCGCATGCAACTTCCGAGCGACTTTTTTGAAGTAATCTGAAGAGTCTAAAGAAGCGAACGTATCTCATTAGCTTGAAGAATATGAAGAAACAGAAGAACTGGACGATTTCGAAAAATATAATAAAAAATCTGAAAAACCAAAGGAAATGGGAGGATCCGAATGTCCATTAACCTAGCAGAGCAAGGTCAGCAGAACACAATCGGACATATTGCATAATTAGGTGCTAATTAAGTGCCCTATGCCCTAATTAAATGCTTCCTTTTTTTTAATTATGACATGTTCTGGCAGGTTCATATGAACTCGGAAAAGCTCTACCTTAAAAACCCAAGAAAATGAAAAGTGAAATAACTATAATTAGGTGCTAATTAAGTATCCTATTCCCGAATTAAATGCTCCTTTTTTTTAAATTATTACATGTTGTAATAATTAAAAAAAAGGGGCATTTAATTCGGGGATAGGGCACTTAATTAGCACCTAATTATAGTTAGTTCACTTTTCATTTTCTTCGTTTTTTGAGGTATAGTGCTCTGATGAGTTCATATGCACCTGGCAGAACATGAATTTAAAAAAAAAAGGAGCATTTAATTCGGGCATAGGGCACTTAATTAGCACCTAATTAGCCCCTAATTATGCCATATGTCTGATTGTGTTCTGCTGTCCTTGCTCTGCTAGGTTCATGGACATAGGATCCGAGGAAGAATGGCACCCAAACAGAAGAAACATAAAAATTTCCAAATATGTAATCTTGAGCCTTCCAAAGCATCTCATGGTTCTGAAGAAAGTGGAGAATGAGAAGAATCCGAAGAATCGAAAGTTTTTATTTAATCCTACGGAAGCAGATATTGTTTGTAATTAAAGAGGACGAGCGCTCACAATTTGCCGAAACGGATTTGCATTTAAATTTAGTTATTGCGCTGACATAACCTCAAACAAAAAGTGCACATACATGTATAACGCATGTAAAAGTTCCCATCACTTCAATTTTCTTATATAAACGTTAAATTACAACTTAAAAGGAAATTATGTGATGACATGTAATGAGAAATTAGATTTATTACGCGTGTTTCAGTCGAACATGTGAAATTGTCATTAACATTTTTACTCAATTTCAAAGACCTTGCGTAAGGAAGGAGATGAGTTTTTGTTACAATTTGGTATTCACAGAAGATGAGCGGGCTACTTCCGTGTTTGCCTTATATAATTGCACTTTTACAAATTCTATTGTTGTCTGGTCCAGTAACTTGGTTTACTGACAGCTGCCATCAAAATGTCCCCTGGCACGACCTCTGACCCGCGCGTCCACTTTCGAGATTTTTGGGACATTCTCACTTGGCCTCTGGCGCCCCGTATGCATGAGCAATCAAGAAAGCGAGAAGGAAATTGGTGCATCGGTGCGTTTAGCCGTCGGAAATTAATGGCCGACCTTGACAGTGTCTTAAATTTTCGTCCCATAAAGTTGTGACAAGGAGAAAATAAGCGAGCGTATTATGCTAATTATATAAACAAAAAAGCGCTATAAAAAAGACTTTCATTCTGTGGCATTACTGCATTAGAATACGGTAATTGTTCCGGTTATTAATTATGCAAGCTCATCGCCAGATTTACGCAGCTTTGCTCTTCGTAAAGTGCGGAAAAGAAATTTAACGGGCGAGTGTATGCGAAATATCTCTGTGTAGAGACCTTTAGCCGCTCCGTGCGAGGATTTTTAGCCATCCGCGAATTTGTTACAATCAATTTTGGAAGTAGGAAGTTGGTTGAAAGGTTTTAGCCAACACGCTGCTTTTAGAATTGAATGCGTCCAATTCGGAGGCGTGTGACACTTATTCTAATAAGTAATTGAATGTCTCTACGTAGAGTTATTTTCGTATATATCCGATCACGATAGGAGGTCGAGGAGGAGGGGTATGGTTGGTAGAAATTAATTCCTTTCGTTGAGACCTTTCATTAGAGTACCATGAAGGATAAAACTAGTTCCACCCCCCCCCCTCCCCCTCCACCTCGTACTTTGATAAGAGGACAAAATGAAGGGCAGTAGTTGGTAGAAAACGGTTCCTTTCGTTGAGACCTTTAATTAGAATACAATGAGATAAATTTAATTTTGACCCCCCCCCCCCTCAGGCCTCGTCGCTAATTGATCTCGAAAAAGAGTCGCACGGGAAAGTTATAGTTATAGTATAAACCAATTTATTTAGATGAGACCTTTCATTAGAACACCATGAAGGGTTGTGTTTACTCCATCCTCCCCCTCCCCCCCCCAAATTTTCTAAAGTTTAACTTGGCACCACTAAAAGCATGCGTATGCAAAATCTGAGACCAATTGGTTGTCGTATGTAAAAGTTATGCACATTTTACTTTCAAAAACAGCATCTCAGGGAATAATTCGTGGGGGGGAGGGGGGGTTTTTAGACAGCGAAATTTGATGGCCGTCTGGGACACCTTCAAGGTATAGGCTATCTACTGCATTTTTTAAGAATTAAAAAAATGTGCTAAAAATATGGAGAGAACAATATGACGTGTCGTAGGAGAGGAGAAGAAAAATGAGAGTAAGGAGAACGTGAAGAAGAAAAGAGGAAGAGCAAGTAGGGGTAGAGTAAGCACTGTAAGGTGAAACAGAGAAGCAGAATGATAAAAGAGGCAGCCAATGCCGAGGGCAAGAACGCGGTGTCAGCGCAAGAAGAAGGATAAATGAAAAAAGAAAGAGGAAGCGAAGACAGAAGGATAGAGAACAGAGGAAGATAAAGTAGGGGAAAACAAAACCAAAAAATAAAGGTGGAGGAGAAAGGGTACACAAACATAGGGCTCATAGGGAGAATAGGATTGAAAGAAAACAGATAAATGGAGAAAGGCGAAAAGGTAAGGTAGAAGAAGAGCGAGCGATATGAGGGGAAGAAGAAAGAGAATACGTATAAAAAAACAGAGAAGAAGGAACAGGATGAAAATAGAGGAAGAATCAGAAGTAGAAGAGAGAGGAATATCAACCAAAAAAGAGGTAGAAGGAGGGAAAAAGTGAAGCAAAAAAATGGGAAGAGGAAGGTAAGAGGGAATTGTGAGGTAAGAAGAAAGAAAATTTGAATGGATGCATGAAAGGAAAGGGAAATGAAGAGCTAAGATAAGAAGGTAACATAGAAAGGGCTAAGGGACAAGAGATGTAAAAATAACAAGAGATTAGAGAAAGAAAAGAGAATGATCAGAAGACAAGAGGATAGGGCGAAAGGTTTAAGAAGAAGAAAAAGTGAAACGGGGATAGGGGAAATGAAGAGAATAAGAAATGAGAGAAAGAAAACTGAGATGAAGTGTGAAAGAGAAAAAGAAGGACGAAGAAGTTGACAAAGATAAGAGTGAGGAAGGAGTAGGAAAGGAAAGGAAAACAAAAGTCAGAGAAAGGGCAAACAGGGAAAAAGCGTAAGAGAAACCATAAAGGGGAAAAAGAGAAAGTGGCAGCGAAATTCTTCTGGCGGGTAAGAGAAAGCATGTGAATAGTGTATGATAGCAAACGTCACGAAAAACTTTGCTTTACTTTTTGGTATCAGGAGGACAGATAGGTAATTTTGGATTTTCGTTTACGCTTATAGAAGATATTGAAAAAGAACCAAGAGTGGTAGTGTGATTCTAAAAAACACATTTTAATTAAGATGGTATTAGGCGCACATAAATCAGAATTGATGTCGGTTTCGTTAGGTAGTGCGTTTAGAAAAAGTGGAAAATGAACATAAAGGTATAATGCAGTTCTAAATATACCATTTCAATTTTGCAAAATTATCAGGAGCACAAAAATTACGATACTGGAGATTCCCAAATGTTCTATTTTATGGTCTCCTGATTCTTAATCGCCAGGTAAGTGGCATTGGGCGCACAGAAAATTTGGTTTATTGTTTGGAAAATTATCAGGAGTACAGAAATTAAGATATTGGGTGATTGCAAATGCATTAAGAACCAAGATTATTAAAATTTTCAGATACCTAATACTTACAAATTGGATTATCTAAACCGTTACATGGAATCGGAGAATTTACATTAACTCCCTCCTGATACTCCATTCCCAGGATGGCCATATTGGGCACAGAGAAAGAGCATTAAGGTATTCAGCACACTATAATTTTTACCGATAGCGTAGAAACAAAGATATTTAATGATCGCCAACGTTACATAGGATTTATTATCTTATAATCTCCTGATAAGTAATCCCCAAGAAAGGGTGCAAAAAAAGAAATTTATTTCATTTTTTGTTAACGCTTCTAGAAAATATTGAAAAGTAAAATAAAGAGGACCCTAAGGATCATTGAGGTTCGGCACACTTATCAGGAGCCCATCAATCTAGATTTAGGCGGTTGCAAATACCATCAAAAACATCTCTTTTTAATACACAGAAAGGCGGTACTAAACGCATTTATTTTTTCGTTTTTTGGTTAAAAAAAAACATTGAAACAGAGCAAAGAGTGATAATTATTCATGCTTAACATATCTGGCTGTGCAGTACTGCACGAGTTTTCCCGGGAAACATCGGACTACCCGTGGTAATGTGGTTCTTATGTTTTATAGTTCCCTGATACTAGGTTACCCGAAAAACGGTATACTTTTAGAAAAATATTAAAAAGGGAACATAGAGAAGTACTGTGGTGCTAAGAAGTGCATTTTAAATCTGTAAAAATGTCAGGAGCACATAAAAAATGTTTTGAATGATAGCAAACTGTATAAAGGATTCATCATGCTCTATTCTCCTGACACTTGATCCCTAAAAAAGTGATGTTAAACGCACCGAAATGTATATTTGATTTATTTTTTTGTTAACGCTTTATTAAAAGTGTCAGGAGGACAGAAATTGTATGATCGCAACTTCACTTTACTTTTCCGGATACTTTTGTACTTCGATTTTTGAAAATATTAAAAAGGGACCAACAGTGATAATGTGGTTCTTATATTTTATGGCTTCCTGATACCTAGTTACCAGAAAAGCGATATACTTTAGAGAAATACTAAAAAGGAACATAGAGAAATAGTGTGATGCTAAAGAGCGCACTTTATATTACATAAAAGTATCAGGTGCACAGAAAGAAGGATATTGTATGTTCGCAAACGCCACGAAAAACTTGGCTGTACTTTTCCTGCAACTTAATACTTAGAAAAGCGGTATTAGGTAGGTGCACAGAAATGTAATTTTATTTTTTCGGTTATGATTTTAGAAAATATTGAAAAGGAAGAAATAATTGTGCTGTGGATTCTAAGAAGCGCGCTTTAATGTGGGAGTCCGAAAAAAAACAGTTGTGCGCAATTATCAGGAGTACAGAGATTATGAATTGGGCGATTGCAAATACCATCACGAACCTAACATTTTTTTTAATACTTAGAAAAGCGATACCAAGAGCGCTTATTTTTTGGTTTTAGAAAACACTAAAAAGTAAAAAAGACTGATAATCTGGTTCTTAAATTTTATGTTTTCCTGACGCTTAATTACGAGAAAAACGGTAACTTTTAGAGAAATATTAAAAAGGAACATAGAGAGGTAGTGTGGTGCTAAGGAGCAACCTTTAAATCTGTAAAAGTATCAGGAGCACATGAATCTACTATACACGTGGCCACTCGCGACCGACGAAAGCGCATTTTCCCCGCACAGAATCAGTAATTACTCGGGAAGAAAGTGACTAATCCAAAAAATCTTTAGTCGTTCTGGTCTCGGGGCTGTGCTACACCATATAAGAAAGAAACCACAACGAAAAAGCTTACAGTGCAGATGGACAGACAGAAGGATAAAAGTGCGGACAATAAATGATAACAAACAAAGGATTCATCATTCTCTCCTGATACTTGGTCCCCCAAAAAGTGATATTAGTTGCACTTTTTCTGTTAACGGTTTATAAAATTATCAGTAGCGCAGAAAGAAGGATATTATTGTATGTTCGCAAACGCCACGAAAACTTGATTGTACTTATTACTTATAAAAGCGGTATCAGGAGTAGAGAAATATCATTTTAAATTCCGTTTATGCTCTTAGAAGATATGAAAAAGGAATAAACAGTGTTATTGTGATTCTAAGAAGCACACTCTAATTAAGGTGGTATTAGGCGCACAGAAATCAAAAATGATTACGTTTTCGTTACGTAATGCTGTTAGAAAAAATTGGAACTGGACATAAAGTTATACTGTGGTTCTAAAAGGCACAATTTAAGTTTGTAAATTTATCAGGATTACAAAAGTAACGATATTGGATGTTATAAAGTATTTAGGAGCTTATATTTTTTGGTACTTCATCGCGGAGAAGTCGGTATTGGGCGCACAGAAAAAAATTTGACAGGGACACTATGTTTCTAAAAAACACTGTCATTTTTCAAAGGAGCAGGAGCATAGAAATTAAGACGTTGGGTGATTGCAAATGCATTAAGAGTCTATATTGTTCAATTTCTCCTGACACTTAATAACTATAAATTGACTGATCCCAATTATACGAATTTAGGAACTTATAGTTACTCCCTCCTGATACTTCATCCTCAGCATGGCGGAATTGGGCGCACAGAAACAACAACACTGTAATTAAAAAAATTATCAGGATCGTAGAAATAAACATATTTGACGATCGCAAACGTTACAAAAAGAAGTTATTATTTTAAAATCTCCTGACACGTAGTCGTCAAAGGGCCCAAAAAAGAAATTTGATTAATTACCGCTTTGAGAAAATATGGAACAGGCACAGAAATAGGTAGTGGGGGACCCTGGGAAGAATAGAGGTTCAGCACATTTATCAGGAGCACAGAAATTAAGATTTGGGCGGTTGCAAATGCCATCAAGAACCTATCTTTTTTTTAATACTCAGAAATTATTTGTTTCGTTTTTCGCTTTTAGAAAATATTGAAAAGGGACCAAGCAGTGGTAATGAGGTTCTTATATTTTATGATTTCCTGATACTTAAGTTACCTACCAGAAACGCGATACACTTTAGAAGAATACTAAAAAGGAACATCGAGAGTGTGATGCTAAGGGGCGCACTTTATATTACATAAAAGTATCAGGAGCACATGAAAAAATATATTTAATGGAAGTTATTTTTTCGTTTATTGAAGAGGGATTAGCTCTAAGAAATGAGCATTGAATGAGCAGGCAAGTATAGTGTTCTAAAAAACACATTTTAGTTTTGTCAAATTATCAGGAGCACATAAATATCGATGTTGGATATTCTCAAATGTGTAAAACGATTTAGAAGCGTATATTTTATGTTGCCCCAATACTTAATCTCCAGGAATGCCCTAAGAATGTGCACAGGTTGACGGCAGACTTGGGAAGAGGATAGTTGCTGAAAAAAACAGAAGTATCCACCGTTTAGTTTTCGTCAATTACCGAACAATAACTCTTGCAATAACGGTCCAGCTAATTACGCAACTCTCATTAAAATCGTTAAGCGATTATTACGCGGATCCCTCTTCCTGAAGAGTAACTCTGAAAATTGCGGGCATACATTAGCATTTTTTGTTTTTTTTTTAATTTGCGACGACGACGCGCGCCGCGAATTTCTCCTCGTAGTTTTTATTGGGCGCATAAAATCTTGCTTAGAAATTTTTGAAAGTTCATGACCTAAAACATTGTTTTTCCATCGCTAATCGGTCAATTACGATTCCGTTTGTTTACCGAAAATGGCGCGCGGTCGCCGTTAGGCCGAGAAGATTCGCAGGTGGGTAAAAGTAATCCTTTTTTTATTATTAAAAACGAAGTGAATGTAAAAGTTATTTCCATAAAGTCTAAGAGTGAATCTTCAGTTTATAGGGGGGAATTTGCTATTTAAACTATGCGGCGCGTTTATGGAGATATCATTTGATCATAGTTTTAGTGCCGGCTTAGGATGAGACCTATTGTGGTATGTGCAGTTTCAAGTTGCTAATTATCTTAGTCAATTAGGGGAGGTCCAAGTGTGGCTAATTAATTGCGCCCGTTTTTAGATTGTCGCAGCGGTGCTAGCCCTGGCTAATGCCCGACCCGAGCCACCCTCCTCGTACGGGCCACCCTCAAGTTCGTACGGCGTGCCAACGGGGGGCGGATTTGGAGGTAGCGGAATAGGTGGAGGATTCGGGGGCGGTCACGGCGGCGGCGGCGGCGGAGGTTTCGGTGGAGGAGGTAAGTCCGGCTGAGATCTCGCAGAGTTGAGCTCTAGTTGAAACCCAACAGGAAGTTTCGGCGGTGGATTCGGAGGAGGTAGCGGATTCGGGGGAGGCGGCGGATTCGGCGGCGGCAGCGGATTCGGCGGCGGAGGTGAGTTTGGCCCCAATTCCTGTAGATCTTCAATTTCGGGTTTAAGGTTTCGGCGGTAGCGGCGGAGGCGGTTTCGGAGGAAGTGGCGGAGGTGGATTCGGAGGCGGCGGATTCGGAGGCGGCGGTGGCGGTTTCGGAGGCGGAGGTTTCGGAGGTGGCACCACCGTGCAAAAGCACATCTACGTCCACGTACCTCCACCGGAACCGGAGGAATTCCGACCGCAAAGACCCATCCCCATCCAGCAGGCCCAGAAGCATTACAAAATCATCTTCATCAAGGCACCAAGCGCGCCCACTCCGACCGCCCCAATCATACCCGTACAGCCACAAAACGAGGAGAAGACGCTCGTCTACGTCCTGGTGAAGAAACCAGAGGAGGCGCCTGAAATCGAAATACCAACGGTGGCGCCGACGCAGCCAAGCAAACCAGAAGTCTACTTCATCAGATACAAGACCCAGGTAATTGAAGCTGCGAATAGACACGTGCGAAAATGAAAGCGGAGCGTCACACTTACAAATCGCTTTTCACGCGGAGGTCAGGCTAATTTAAATCATCTGCCGATTTGACGGGTGAAAGTAAAGTTCGCTAAATTCCACTTTCGTACGTGAATTACCGTTGAACGACCGCGTTTTCTAACATTAATCAAAATTTTTTTCTTTTGCAGACGGGCGGAGGCGGCGGTGGCGGTATCGGTGGTGGAATTGGAGGCGGAATCGGCGGCGGAATCGGAGGAGGAATCGGCGGAGGAATCGGAGGCGGAATCGGAGGCGGAATCGGAGGTGGAATCGGAGGCGGTCACGGTGGCGGTATCGGAGGTGGTCACGGTGGCGGTCACGGTGGCGGACACGGCGGTGGACACGGAGGCGGACACGGAGGCGGCGGTATTTCCGGTAGCTACGGACCGCCGGGAAAATCCGGCCCGTACTAAGTCGCAACCTACCTCAAAACGTCTGGCCTTGCAAAAGTACCCTTTTGCTAGGCTACCCCCCTGATGCCAGTACGTTTCCTCTTACCAAACGGTGATTTCTTTGACTGATACGCCCCTAATCGCAGCAAATTCCAATTGCGAAAATTTGGGGTGTAAATCAGTATTGTATATAGTGCAATACGTTTATATATAGTATTATTATAAGTGTAATTATTATTATTTAATTAAAGTACGGTGACAAATAATACTTTTTTTGCGTCGACATCCCTAATGAGCCTCATCTTCCATTCCTTTTTTTTTCTTCCCTTTTTCCTTCCCAACTCTTTCTTCTTTTTTGCTTCTCCTTCACTTGTTCCTTCTCATCTTTCTTTACATGTTTTGTGCTTTTTGTTTTCTTTTCTCTATTGCACATTCTTCTACTTTCTCGTAGACTCTTGCTTTTATTAGTCCCTTTGCTCTTCTGGTCATTTTCCTCTTCCCCTGCGCGGTTTATTGTCTTTGAGCGCTCCTTTTTCCTTACTTCATCTTCTTCTGCTGCGTACGCCTATATACTTCCTCTTTTTCTGTCTTCCCTGTACTTCCCTAATTATTTTTCTAAGATTCCTCTTTCGTTAATTTTTCTTCCTCTGCTTTACCTACTTCTACTGCAGCTGCTTTAGTCTCTGAACAATCTCCTCCATAGCGTTCTTCCCCATTCATTCTCTTCCCTTTTCTTTGATGTACCTTTTTTTAGTTTACCTTCAGGTTGTTTTCCCCTGCTTCATCTTACACTTGTTCTTATGTTCCCGATTGCTATCTCCTTCTAATTCTTTGTCTCCTTCCCTCGTCACATTCTCATTTCCTGTTGTCCATTCCTCTCTTCACCACCTTCTGGATTCCATTTTGTTTTTCCTTTTTTAACCATTTTTCCCTTTTTCTTCCCCTTTCTAAATCCTTTCTTATTCCATTATCTTTTGTTGCTACTTTATTTTTCTCATTCCACTCTCCTACACCTTTTGTAATTCTTTTGCTTTCCCTACGTCCTGGTCAGCCTACCATTTCTCTGCATTCTTTTCTACTTTCAGTATCCTTCTTCAGTACGTTATTTTCCTATGTTTCTGTCTCTGTTTTGAATTTCAATTCTTTCCTTTTTTCTATTTATCTTTATTTATTCATACTCAAATCCTATTTTAATTTCCCATTCCGTTTTCTTCTCCAATTTCTTTTCCCTTTTTCTCGGTACTAGCGCTGTTCTTCTTGTTTCTTCCCACTCTCTTTTATTTCTTTTTCTTTTATTTTCTTCTGGTTTTTCTTTTTCCTATCATTTTAACTTCCTCTTCGTTTCATTTTCCACTCCCTCGTCCTTTCCGTCGCTTATCATTTCCATTCTCTCACATCACCTTCTAACCCCACTTTACTTGCAATTTTTTCTTAATTTTTCCCTTCCCATTCCATTTCTCCCTTTTTTGTTTCCCCTCTCAGTTTCTTTTTCTTCGTTTTCCTCTCGCCATTTCTCCACTGATTTCTTCAGCTGTCTTGGATTTTGGATCGTTCCAATTCTAATTCTGACCCGTTTCTTATTCATCTGTCTTTCTTTACGTTCCCCTTTCCCTTCCGCCTCATTTCCTTTTCCCTCAGTTGTTTCTCACTCTTTCTACCTTGTACTTGTCATCCTTTTCCTTTTTACTCCTTTCACAAATAAGCTCTTTTTCTTTGCTCTTCCGCCTCACTTACCTTCTTCCCATTTCTATTTTTCTTTCCGCTTTACCTCTGCACCCTTGTATCACTTCTACTCTCGCTTCACAAGCCATTTTACCTCTTTTTCGCCTTTTCTCTTTCCTTTCTTGTTCGATTTCCCTCCTTCTTCTTCATATCCCTTTGCGTCTATTCGTCTGTTTTATTCTCTGCTTCTTATACTACCCCGTCTTTTCGTTTTGTGCCCCCCCCCCCCTTTTGCCTTTTTCTTTCATTTTACGCTGATTTGCTTCCTTTAGTACTTAATTTTCCTCATTTCATCTTTTTCTTTTGCCTTCTTTCCCTAACATTTTTGTTCCTTTTTTATATAATTCCTTCTGCCTCCAGTCTCTGGTTTCTTTGCGTTTTTTTCGATCCGTTTTGGTGACTCCTTGTCTTTCATATGTGCATTCTTACGCTTCTGTTTCTCTTTCTTTTGTTTTTCACTTTCTACTGTAGGTATATCTCTTTGTCTTCTTAATTATTGTGGTCTGTTCGTTTTACCTCGTTCTATTCTCTTTTCTCTTTTGCTCTCTTACTTTACATGTTTTTTATGTTTTTTGTTTCCTCTTTCTCATTGTATTTCTGCACCTCTTTCCCATCAAATTCCTCTACCTTCTCCATCTGCTCCTTTTTTCTCTACTTCCTGTTCATTCCTTTGCTCTTCTTGTTTGTCCTGTTCTGTCCTTTTCCTCCTCTTTTATCGCATCCTATTTCTCTGCTCTTCCACATCGTTTATCTTACTTTAGTGCCCCTGCCATTTCACTTTTTTTTCAGCATCCCTATGCCTCCTCTTCTTCTGTCTCCCTTCCTCTACTTCATTTTTCTCTCTCTTCCTCTCTCGTTTTTATCTGCTTTCTTTGCCTCTGGTTCATCTGCTTTAGATTCATCTTTCGGCTCCTCTTCTTTGTGCAATCTTCCTATACCTTTTTGAGTTTTCTTTTCCGCTTGTCCATTACAACCCCCCCCCCTTCTTCATCTTATACTTGGTCCTATTTCCTTTGCTTGCCGCTTTTTCTGCTTCTTCACTTTTCTTCCCCTTCTTCTTCCTCTTTCTCATCCTGTCTGTCTTTTTTTTTGCTGTTCTTTCCTTTGACACCTCATTCTTCAGAATTTTCCGATTCATCTTTCTCTACTATCACCCTGTGTGATGTTGTTTGCTATAACTCTCCTATTTCTTTCCGGTTCCCTTTCTTCTTTATCTTCCTTCCCATTCTAGACCATGTACCTATTTCAACTTTTCTTTTCTTATTTTTAAACCCAAAACTCTTATTCGCATCACTATTCCACCCTCTTTTTCTCTCTCCTCTCCCCTTCCATTCAAATTCAAAAATCTTTCCTTTCCTTAACCCTCTTTCACTCAACCTTACCTCGCATTAACCTTTCCGTTTTCTTTTCCTCCTTACTCTCTTTTTCCTTTCCTTCTTCACACCCCCGCTTCAATCCCTTCGCATCACCTTCTACACCCACTTTACTTGGAATAGTTCCTTTCAATTTCATCTTCCCATTCCCTTTCCGCTCTTCCTTTCGTTTGTTGCATTTTCTCGTTCTTTTCCTTTGCGCCTTACTCTTTTTCGATCTACCCTTTTCCATTTCTCAGGATCCATTGCCTATAATTCTTATTCAGCTTTCCCGATTTTCTGAATTCTAATAATTTTTCCTATCCATTTTTTCTTCTTTACATTTCTTATTCTACCCATACCCATTTTAATTTACCGTTACTCTTTCCCTTTACGTTTTTCCACTCCTTCTCATGTTACCCTTACCTTTTCTCACTCTTTTCTCTGTTTATTACTTTGGTTCTTATTCTTTTGCTTTCGCTTTCTTTTTTGTTCAAATTTCCTCTTTCCTCCCTTCCTTCTCCCTTATTCTAGTTACCTCTCTGCGTTTTACCTTGTAAGTCATTTCTATTTTTCTTAATCTTTTTAGCGCATTTTTTACGAATAAAAAAAATGTGCTATTGTTTGCGTTTTGTCCGTCCGTACTAGCGCTGGTCTTCTTGTTTCCTCTCCCTCTCTTTAATTATAGTTCATCTTACGCTACTTTTTCTATTTCTGTTAACCCTTCTTCTGCTTTTTCTTTTTCCTTTCGTTTTAACTTCTTCTTCTTTTCATTTTCCGCTCCCTCGTCCTTTCCATCTCTCCACCTCACTTTACCTGCCATTTTTTCTTAATTTTTCCCTTCTTATTCCATTTCTACTTTTTTTTGTACCTCCTTCTCAGCTTCTTTTTCTTCGTTTTCCCTTGTCCCACTCTCGCCATTTCCCCACTGATTTCTTCAGCTGTCTTGGATTTTGGATCGTTCCAATTCTAATTCTGACCCGTTTCTTATTCATCTGTTTTTCTTTACGTTCCCCTTTGCCTTCCGCCTCATTTCCTTTTCCCTTGCTCGTTTCTCACTCTTTGTACCTTCTACTTGTCATCCTGTTTCCTTTTTACTCCTTTCACAAATATGCTCTTTTTGTTTTCATGACATTTCTCTTCCGCCTCACCTAGCTTCTTCCCTTTCCTCTTTACTTCTGTACCCTTGTACCACTACTCTCACTGCACAAGCCATTTTACCTCCTTTTCATTTTCCCTTCATCTTTTTCGCCTTTCCTCTTTCCTTTCTTGGTCGATTTCCCTCCTTCTTCATCCTCGTTTGCCTCTATTCGTCTGTTTTATTCTCTGTTCCTTCATTTTCTTATACTACACCGTCTTTTCGCTCTTCGCCCTCCCCCCTTCTGCCTTTTTATATGTTCTTTTTCTTTCCTTTTACGCTGATTTGCTTCCTTTGGTACCTAATTTTCCTCCTTTCATCTTTTTCTTTTGTCTTCTTTTCCTAACATTTTTGTTCCTTTTCTATATCATCCCCTGCATCCAGCCTCTGGTTTCTTTGCGTTTTTTTTTCGATCCGTTTTGGCGTTTCCTTGTCTTTCATAATTTCTATTGTAGGTATATTTCTTTCTCTTTTGAATTACTGTGGTCTGTTCGTTTTATCTCGTTCTATTCTCTTTTCTCTTTTAATTTCTTACTTTACATGTTTCTTATGCTTTTTGTTTCCTCTTCCTCATTGTATTTCTATTTTCTCTACTTCCTGTCCATTCCTTTGCTCTTCTTGTTTGTCCTGTTCTGTCCTTTTCCTCCTCTTTTATCGCATCCTATTTGTCTGCTCTTCCACATCGTTTATCTTACTTTAGTGCCCCTGCCATTTCACTTTTTTTCAGAATTCCTATACCTCCTCTTCTTCCGTCTTCCCTTGCTCTACTTCATTTTTCTCTCTCTTCCTCTCTCGTTTTTATCTGCTTTCTTTGCCTCTAGTTCATCTGCTTTAGATTCATCTTTCTCGGCTCCTCTTCTTTGTGCAATCTTCCTTTACCTTTTTGAGTTTTCTTTTCCGCTTGTTCATTACCCCCCCCCCTCCTGCTTCATCTTATATTTGGTCCTATTTCCTTTGCTTGCTGCTTTTTCTGCTGCTTCCCCTTCTTCTTCCTCTTTCTCATCCTGTCTGTCTTTTTTTGCTGTTCTTTCCTTTGACACCTCATTCTTCAGAATGTTCCGCTTCATCTTCCTCTACCTCCTATCACCTTGTGTGATTTTGTTTGCTATAACTCTCCTATTTCTTTCCGGTTCCCTTTCTTCTTTATCTTCCTTCCCATTCTTAACCATGTACCTATTTCAACTTTTGTTTCCTTATTTTTAAACCCATAACTCTTATTCTCATAACTATTCCACCCTCTCTTTCTCTCTCCTTTCCCCTTCTATTCAAATTCAAAAATCTTTCCCTTCCTTAGCTCTTTCACTCAACCTTACCTCGCATTTTCCTTTCACCCTGCTTCTTATTTCCATCCCTTCGCATCACCTTCTACACCTACTTTATTTGCCATATTTCCATTCTATTTTGTCTTCTCATTCCCTTTCTCCCTTTTTTGTGCTTCCCTTTCCTTGCTTCATGCCCTTTTTTTTCTTTTATAAAAATTCTTCTATAAATTCCCTTACCTCCTCCATTTACGTTTCTTCGCTCTTTTTCATGTTACCCTTACCTTTTCTCACTCTTTTCTCCTTTTATTACTTTGGTTCTTGTACTTTTGCTTTCGCTTCCCTTTATTGTTCAAATTTCCTCTTTCCTCCCTTGTTTCTTTCATCCTTTTTTTCAGTTTCCCTTTTTATCTTCTTCTGTTTCATACTTATTTTGTCGTCTTAACTATCATCATCCATCCATTGCGGTTCTCCTACTCTGTTTCTTCCTAAAAACGTTCACTCTATTTCCTTCATAACTAACGCTCTGTCTCTTTCAATCAATGTTTTTTTGTCACATTCTCTGTTTCCTTTTTTGTCTTTCGCTTCCGTTTTCTCATCTTGTGTGTTTGCGCTTTCTTCAACTCGTGTTCCTCCTCATCTGTTTCTTTTTTCTTTACTTACTTCTGCTCTCACCTTTTTTCTTCCCCTTCCCTTCCCTTTCTTGTCCTGTTTCTTTACCTTAACTTCCTTTTTCGCGCTCCTTTGATTGCATATTTCTTCGCTGCTTTGCACGGCCTTGTACCCACTATTTCCTCCACTTCCTTTCATCCTTGAACATCCTCGTCTTTATCTTTTCCGTTCTTTCCTTTTTCATCTGCTCCTTATCTTCTTTTTCATTTTGCTTACCCGTTCCTCGCTGTTCTTCTTTCTTGTTTTGTTTCCTCTTGTCTTTTACCATTACCCTGCTCTCCGGTTCTCCTTACCTATTTTCTCTCTTCCTCAGTTCATCTTTCTCCCATTCTTAGCGCATTTTTGAGGAATTAAAAAAATGTTATTATTTGCGTTTTGTGCGTCAGTCCGTCCGGACCCACTTCTGCCGTTTCGAACTACTTCTAGGGGAATGGTCCTAGAGTCCTGGAATTTTTTGCAGTAGGTAGCCTATATCTTGAAGGTGTGCCAGACGGCCATCAAATTTCGCTGTCTAAAAGCCTCCCCCCCCACTCCCATGAATTATTTCCTGAGATGCTGTTTTTGAAAGTAAAACGTGCTGCATAACTTTTACATACCACAACCAATTGGTCTCAGATTTTGCATACGCATGCCTTTAGTGGTGCCAAGTTAAACTTTAGAAAAAAAGGGGGGGGGAGACACATGTTCTACCCTTCATGGTATCCTAATGAAAGGTCTCATCGAAATAAATTGGTTTGTACAAACTATAACTTTCCCGCGCGACTCTTTTTCGAGATCAGTGAGCGACGGGGCCTGAGGGGGAGAGGGGGGGGGTTAAAAATTAATTTGATCTCTCATTGTATTCTAATTAAAGGTCTCAACGAAAGGAACCGTTTTCTACCAACTATTGTCCTTCTTTCTGTCCTCTTATCAAAGTACGGACTGGAGGAAGAGGGGGGGGGGAGTAGAATTAGTTTTATCCTTCATGGTACTCTAATGAAAGGTCTCAACGAAAGGAATTCATTTCTACCAACCATAGCCTCCTCTCGACCTCTTATCGTGATCGGTATATTCCCTATACCTCAAGAACGGATTGTCGGAAGAGGGTATCACAAAGGGCGATTGAGACGTCTGCAAGAAATATATCCATTGGTGATGTCAAAACAAAAGCTATTTCGGTTACAAAAATGCGCTTTCTCTGCACAAGAGTTGTGCACAATTTATACTTTTTTATTTTTGCTTTCTTCTTGCTTCATTTTTCTTTTTTGTTTATCTCTGTGTCTACTATTCTTGTGTTGCATCATCTTCTGCTCCTGCTATTTATTTATCCATCTTATGGTTTTTAGCCTACCATTCCTCCTTCTTAGTTTTTTCTTCTTCGTTCAGTTTCTTCTTTCTTTACTCTTCTGTTTAGTGGTATAATTCTTTTCATTTCTTTTTAAGTGATGAATTATCAAATCGTCCTGGATTAAGGATCATTTTCAAGCACAACGCCTAACCTTGGATTCGAGGGTAGTGGTTAGAGGTTAACCCTTAAAGTTACAAGGTCAAGTTAGGTGTAGGAAATCAAAGGCTTGCAATTTATTTGTTTATTTATTATACTACGGAAACAATTCTTCATACGTAAACGCTAGCGTTATCTTATTTGCAATTTCCGTAAACCTCCTCGTCAAGGCTTTCAAAAGGCCCGGTTTGATTTCATCGAAGAGCACCTGGACATTGTCGTTGATGACGTCATTCGTCGCCTTCGCCAAGGTGGGGTTTGATTCGAAGAGATTCTCCAGCCGGACGGATACGCCGCCGACAACCAAAGTACACTTCATGTCCTCAAATTCCAAATAGTTCCTCTCTTCTCTCCTCACTTGGTGGCCCTTCATGATGCACTCGAAGTGGTAGTCACCTGAAACGGCGCGCACGTTTGAGAGCCTTAAAGTCGGGCGTTTACTTACTGATGTTAGCATGGAATGGTCCCTGTCCCTTCAGGTCCAAAAATAAGATCCTGGAATCGAGCTCGTACATCCCCGAAACTCGTAGCCTTGGGACGTTTACCTGGAAACGGAAGTTGTAACCCTTCTTGGTCATCGTCGGTCTAGAATTGATTAGGCTTGTAAGCGAGGAGGGACCACGTCGCCATGGACTTACGTCAGTTTGAGAATTGTAAAGTCGGAGGCGCCGTACACTTCCAAGTTGCTGATGTTGGTCGCCAAACGTGTACCGCTGCCGAGCGAGTCGATGACTATGGTCTCTAGGTCTAGAGGTTCCAAGCCGGGGACGTCGAGTTTTGGAATGCCCTTGGCCAGGTACGGTTTAAGGGCCTCGATCGAGTTCGTAATGCAGGCCGATAGGTTTTGGTGGCTACGCGGGCATACTTTGATGTAAGATGCTGAAAGAAGATTAAAGTGCTCGTGATTGGTGTAGTTATCAGCAGTGCGCGATGATTGGTGGTCGCGAAGTTTGAGCGGAAATTTTTCGTCCATAGAAAATCGACGTTGGTGCAAACAAAGCGCTTGCTGCATTCTAGGCCAATTGCAAGTTGCAACACAAATCCGCTTAGATTCAATTTACCCCGGGGCGCTTTTTAATGGACCTTAATTATAGAATTATGGGTACTTACGAATTGCGCAATGAGCCACAGGTACAACGAGCAAAACAGCTAACACAAATTTATTTAAATCGTCCATTATGCAGCGAGCGAACTATCCACCTGAGTGTAACAGCAATCTTATTTATATACTCATACGCCCCCCTCACACGTCTGAGGCCTTGGTATTTGTTCCCAAGCAGAAGAAAAACAAGTTTTACGATATTTCAAAATCGATCGGACTTGGTCAATTAACACTGTTTGCATTAAAAAGTGGTGCGTTCATTATTTATTATGATCTGATGAATAAACAACTACTGTTAATGGGCTTGTTGAATGATTTCCTAGTTGAGATATCCATCTAGAGGAGGAGGAAGACGTCCATCCGCTGCAAAAGTGACCCTACAGGCTACAATACTGAATTTCATTGGAACATGGTCTAAAGGTCACTTGGTCTCGATGTTCAAGGTCGGAATAATTAGGTTTACTCCAGGTCAAAGACTCCATATTCAAATTTTTGTAAAGTTTTAACTTAAGATTTTGGGATTCAGATTTACAATCTCTAAGTTTGAGAGAACTGACCTTCGTGGTCATGATTTCCACCATACTCTGTCCATCTATTTCCTCCCTCCTCCAGCTACACTGTTACTCTTCGCTTTTTCGTTCCCCTTCCTCTTACTATGCACCACGTTAATCTTTCCCTGTTCCGCCTTCTTCTGATTTTCTTCCTTTCGTCTCCTATCACCGATTCCTTTTACTTTTCTCTTTCACTTGTTTTTCTTCTTCCTTTTGACTTTCAGTTCTGGTTCACTACTTTATAATCTTCTTCGCTTCAACTTCTTTTATTGCGTGTTCTTGTAAAGTAGTGGAATTGAAATCAAACGAAATCGCGAGGGGCGGGCGAGCAGAAAAAAGGGAAACAGCGTCGGAGGCAAAGTTACTATGCGGGGAAAGCGAAACAAGGATATTAGGAAGAAGAAGAAAAGTAAAAGGGAGCGTAAGAGTAGGGAGCTGAAGAAGATGAAGCGTGGAAGAGAGGAAGTTAAAGGTTGAAAAGAAAGGGAAACCATGTAGAGGAAGTTAACGGAGACGAAAATATGAAAACATAGTGTGAATAGGAACAGGAAGGGATGAAGGGAAAATGTGATGGGAACGAGGTTCAAGAGCGGGGCGATACAAGCAAAAGAGAATAGAGGATGAAAGAAAATCACGTAATATTCTCAAAAGACGAAAGGAAAAGAGAAAAAGGACAGAATAAATTTATGCTATAGATAATTTATAATAAGGAAGAACAAGTAAAAGAGATGGAAGAAAGATGTTAGGAAAGATAAAGCAGAAAATGGTGGAACAAAGATGAAAATAATGCAAAGCTGGAGAAAACGGAAGAGAATAAGAGGAAGCAAAAGTAGAATGATATGAGGCAGAGGAAGAGAAAATGATACACAAAGTAGAGTACCTAATAAGGGAAATAGGGTTGAAAGAAAAGAAATAAATTGAAAAATGGAGTAAAACTGAAGAGAAGAGGGGCAGCGAATGGTGAGGGAAAGAATTTAAAACGGGATAAGTGCAGATAAAACAGAAAAAAAGGAAAACAGAACGCCGAATCCAGACTTGCAAGGGAATGTGAGGGGAATAAGAAAGGGAAATCATGTGAAAGGAAACAGAGGAAGAAGTACAGGTTAAGAAAAGGGGGAAGGATAAAAAGTAGAAGAAACATAGGAATATGAAGCATATGAATTGCAGCAATGGGAGAGGAAGAAGAAAAGTATGAAAATAAAGGCGAAGGTGAAGGAAAGGTAAAGCAATAAGAATGGGAATGGGAAAGTAAAGGAAAGAAGTATGAGAATTAGTAGCTGAGAATGAAAAGGGTCACGAAAGGAAAGAGGAGAGGAAAAGGAAAGGGGAGGGAAGGGAAAAAGAAAAGGAAAGGCAGAAGATGAAAGAGAAAAGAAAGATGAGATGGGAAAATGAGATTAGGTAAAGGTGGTGGGAAGGGAATAAATTTGTTCAGGGGAAAGGAACAGGAGGACAATTGAGGAAGGGAAAAGAAAGAGGTTGTACAAGGTAAGAGCAATGAAGACGCAAGAAGGGTTAGAATGAGGAAGGGTAACAAGATAAGAAATTGGGAAAACGGGAAGGGGGGGGGGGATTAAAATGGCGAATGCGATGGAAAGGAAAGAGGAATATGAAGAGGAAAATGCAAATAGAAAAGAAAAAAGAATTAGAACTCAGATGATGGCGAAGCAGTAAAAACAATGGAATCATAGAAGAATGATACAGGGGAAAAGGAAAGAGTAGATCGAAGAAGCCGTGCGGAAATGAAATGGAAAGATAAAGTTGGAGTGGAAGGAGAAGCGAAGGGAAGAAAGTGAGCAATGACGAAGGGGAATCGCAAACGGCAAAACAAGGGAAAATTATGCAGAGAACATGAAGAAAATGAAGGTCAAAAAGAAGACAGAGATGAAAAGAATAAGGGAGAAGGGAAGAGGAAAAGGGTTAACGAAGAGAAGAACGCAGAAACTGGTGGAACATGAGTAGTAGAAGATTAAAATGATGAAAAGGACAGGAAAGGGAAGAAAATAAGAGGAAGTCAAAGTAGAACGATATGGATCAAGCGAATGAAGAGAAAATGATGCTCACAAAAAAACGAAATAAATAAAGAAAGGGAGAACAGGAATAAGTCAAACGGAAGAAAAGGGCGATACAATTCGAAGAAGGCAGAGAAAACATAGAAAAAGAAGAAGCCCGGAGTAAAAAAAGTAGGAAAGAATAAAGCTTATGAATAGAAAAAAATGAAAGGAAGGAGCGAAATGTAAAAGGAACGGGGGAGTTGAGAAGAAAGTGAAGCAAGAAGAACGAGAAATGAAGAGACACGAAAAGGGAAAGTGATATGGTAGGTGAGCAGAAGAGAATGAGAATTTGACGAGGAAAGGGAAATGGGAAGGCAAGGAAAATGGTCAAATGGAGAGTAAGATATGGTGTAACATGGGGAGCGGAAAGGACCGGCGGAGATATAAAAATGGGGAAAGGGAAAGGAGAAAGAGAAGGAAAACGTTTATGTGGGAAAGTGTAAAGAGAGCAGGAAGTGAGGAAGTAAAGGTAAAGTAGGGAAAAGGGGGGAAGCGCGACGCAGGAGCAAAGAAAGAAGGGCAGGGGAAAAGAAAAGCGGAAGGGTGGAAGGAAAATATCAATAAAAAAGAATAGAATGGGAAAAATCAGGATTAAGAAAGTGAAGAAGCAGAGGAAATAAAGCACTGAAGGATATGAATCATAGAAGAAAGATGCAAACAAAAAGGAAAGCGCAAGTACCGGAAGATGTGGGAACAGAAAAAGGGAAGCGAAGAAATAAGCAAAAAAAAAAAAGGGGAACAGAAGATGGGAAGGAAAGATGAGCAAGGGAGAGAGACCGACAAAAACGAACCAGAAGTAGGAAAATGAAGAGTAAGGGGTAAGAGACGGAGGAAGGATATGAGAGGGTGCAAGGGAAGAGAGAAAGAGAACACGAAGAGGTACAAGATCATTAGAGAAGGTATACGATTGGGTTGGAAAGTGTGGGGAAAGTAGGAAAGAAAGGGAAAATTGGGGTAGGGGAAAGAAAGGGAAGGACGCATGTGGCAAGTAGGACAAGAGGGTAACGAAAGAAACGATAACAGGAAATCAAGGGCAAAGAAAAAGAAGGGCGAGGATAACAAAGAAATGAAAAAAATGGGAAGGGTGGCGGGGAATGAACTAAACTTAACGAACGCAAACGAAGAGGAAGAAAAAGATGAAAGAAAAGTGAAGCAAGAGGAATAGGAAGGGGAAAATAAAAGAAACAGGGGATAAAAGTTGGTAGCTGAATAGAAGCTGGAAATGAAAAGAGATACGAAAGGAAAGGGGGAAGGAAAAAGGACGGAAAATAAAGAAATAAAAAGTAAGAGAAGGTGAAGGGATAAAAGAAGGGTAAGGGAAGGGAGAAAGGAGGAAGGAGGAAGGAAGAGTAGAAGATGATAGGTGAGGGGGAAAGGAGAAAGAAAGATGAGACGAAAAAATGAGGTGGGAAAGAAAGGGAAGGTTGCACGAAGTAGCAGCCAAGGAAGGTGAAAGAGAAAGGAAGGAATGAGGTGGAAAGGGAAGAGGGAAAGGGAAATAGGAAAGAAAAAAGAATTAGAATTCACATGAAGGTGATGTAGAGAAAATAAGGCGCTGAAGAAGATAGGAGTCATAGAAAAAATATACAGAGAAGAAAGAAAGAGTGGATCGAGGAAGTGCGGAACAGAAAAGGTGTAGGGAAGTCGGAAGTAAGGGAAGAGGAAAAAAAGGATTAATCAAAAGAAGAAGGCAAAAGAAAAGAACAAAATTATGGAATGTGGGCAGCAGAAGATGATGAAAATGATGCAAAGGAAAAGGAAAAAGAAGAAAATAAGGGGAAGCAAAAGTAAAACGATATGGAGGAGAGAAACTACGAGAAAAGGATAAACAAAGTGGAGTGATAAGGAAAATGGGGTTAAAAGAAAGAAATAAAAAAAAGGAGGAAGTAGTAGGAATAAAATGGTGATACAATAGGAAGAAGAGAGAGAAAACCTGTGGAAAAGAAGGTTTAAAAGGTAGGAAATATATGAATAGAAGCGAACCGAGAGTTAGAGGAGGCGAGAACTGTAAAAGGAACGATGAAGGTGAAATCAGAAGAATGGGAAAGGAAGAGAAACGAAAAGAGGAAATGAAATAGTAGGTGAAATGAGTAGGGTAGGGATTGGAAATTAAATAAGACACCAAAAGAAAAGGGAAAGGAAAAGGCAAGGAACATGGGGAAATGAAGAGAAAGATAAAAAGGGAAAAAAGGAAGAAAAGCAGAAGGCCATAGCAGACAGGAAAAGGTTGGACGGGAAATTGTAAAGAGAGTATGGAAGAAGTGGACATTGGAAAGGAAGAGAAGGGGAAATGTGGCAGGGAAAGTGAGGAAAGGGAGCAAAGAGGTCGAGGGGTAAGGAAAAGACAAATGGGGAAACAGCACGAAAGACCGTAACACCAAAAAGGCCCTGTTGAGAAATTTTGCGAACTAAACGAAAAACGATGGCACTAAAGAAAGTCCTCGTGGAAAACTAGGGGAATTAAAGGAACTGAACGGGACATTGGCGCTAACCCCCTGGTAGAGATCTAGAGGAACTAAAAACAATGGCGCTGTCAGAAGTGGCATGAGAATCGAAAAGGCAGAATTTGAGGGAAAAGAAAAGAAATTAGAGAGAGAGAGAGAGAGAGAGAGAGAGAGAGAGAGAGAGAGAGAGAGAGAGAGAGAGAGAGAGAGAGAGAGAGAAAGGGAAACCGCGTTACATGATTGTGCAAAGGAGAGGGGATGACCAAAAAACTAGACAATTATTAGACTGGGTTCAATAGATGGCGCTGCACCCTCTTCTAGTAAAATAGATATCAGGAAAGTATCGAAAAATAACTTTATTACGAGATAATATAACAAATGAACAAGTGATAATCCACAGGAATTATCTCTCGACCCTTAAACTGTCTTTTTCCAGTTGAAATACAGAGGGCGCCTTCCTAAGGAAACAACTCCTCATATTCGAACTTCAACGTAATCTTATTCGACATGTCGGTAAAGACTTTCTCGAGCGTTCCCACGAGCGCTGGTTTAATTTCGTCGAAAAGCAGGTGGGCGTTATCGTTGATGACGGCGTTTGTCGCCTTGGAGAGGACGGGACTGCCGTCGAAGAGGTTCCCCAAAAGTATCGAGACGTCGCCGATTACGACGTTAAGTCTCATCCGCTCAAAGAGCAGGTAGTTCTTGCCGTCGCGTTCCACCTTATTCCCCTTCATGGTGCAGTCGAACCAGTAGTTCGCTGGAATCAACAGTTTTGGTTAAGCGTCGCCGAATCGGAACTTACTGATATTGGCGAAGAACGGTCCTTCGCCTTTCAGGTCCAGGAAGAGTATCCTGGAGTCTAGTTGGTAATGCGCCTCCACTCTCAGCTGGGGGATGTTCACTTGGAAACGGAAGGTCTTGCCGTTCTTCGACTTAGTCGCCCTGAAACGTACGTGCTCGGTCGCGGTCTGACGACGAGACAGTATCTTACACTAGCTTTTGTATTTCGAACTTGGACGCCCCGTAGACTTTCATGTCGGTGATGTTTGTGGCCAGACGGGATCCGGGACTGATCGAGTCGATCACCAGGTCCTCCAGCGGGAGCGGCTCCATGCTAGGGACGTCGACCTCTGGGATACCTTCCACTAACTTCGGACGTAGAAATTCGATCGAGTCTGTTATGCAAGCGGATAGATTCTGAACCGATTGCTCGCATACCTTTATATAGGGCGCTGAAACGTGGACACTTAAACCAAAGGAAAGGGCAGTGGTACTTACGTATTTCGCCACTAACCGCCAGGGCACTAACCGCAAACCAAAAAATTAGGAATCTCTCCGTCATACCGCGCGCAAAATGTCGAAATCTGCACCGCGAGCTTTGTGCGACTTGATATTTATGGCAAATCCCCAAGTCCTTGGATTATAAATTCAGAAACGCGCAATAATTCTGTTTGCTAATGATCGAGAAAGTTTAAGACCAGAACGACGTCTAGGTACTACCCGTTGCTCGTAGGTCATTTTTCACGATTGTCGTCCAATGAATTTAGCACACATCCAGTTTTTTTGGCCAAAAATAACGAAAACGAAAATTAACGCCATTTGAAAGGAACTGCTTTTGACCCAGTCAACCATGGCAAGAATGGAGTCGGGCATCCTCGAACTCGTGCACAAGAATAAATGTAGATCATTAGTTACGTAATTAATAATAATTATCGCTATACGTTTGTTGATTTATGTGGTAAATTTATGTTCAACTCTTAGTTCCGTTACTCGTTCTTACACTGAAAACACCGGCGCGGTAGTTGCATAAGAATGATTCAATTACCAGATTTTTCAATTATATTCTAATATGGGAGCATGCGGCTCCTATATAAACAAATTAGTATTTTCAGTGTCAGAAAGAGGGAAACCTTTTAATTCCTTTTTTGAAAATTAACATTCCAGAGGAGTAAAATGTCTCCTGTGCACTGATTTTTAATGGCCCTCTTTGTCCTCCTTGTTTCAAGTCGTAATGAGTCTTTTTTTACTTGATTTATTCGTGCACGACTTTTTCTTTTAGTTTCACGTCATGGTCAATTAACGCCCCTTCTCTCTAGATCATCAGGACTGAATCGCTCTTTAGTTCCGCCGCCCAAGATAGTGTTTGGGAAAAGACGCAGTCAAAATTTTTCCTTCCTGTGGGATGTTTCATAACACGTTCGCTGAAGAAAGTGGTACCCTTTGGGAGTGTGGAATACCCCCCAGCGGAATATATTCCCAGGAAACGCGAGGACTCAATCATTCGTCTTCTATTACCCCTAGCCCTTTTGCGACACCCTTTGGGAAAAGGTGTCGAATCTCCGTATATACAGGGTGATTCAAAATGGAGGGCAAATAAGCCTACCAAATTTTAATCAAATCGGCGACAAGGTTTTTGAATAATTGATAAAAAAATTACCCCTAGCCTTCTTAAGGTAGCCTTTGGGAAAAGTTGCCGCATCTTCGAATATAATGTCATATATGGGAGGGGGGGGGGCCCCCCCCCCCCCCCATATTTTGAAATCTAACAAATATTTCATCTTTTATACTCCCACTATAGGGCTTGAGAAAGGCGAGTTGATGTTTTGTTCTTGTATGGATGTTTCATAACATTTTTAGTAAAGAACGCAGTACCGGGGGGTCTATTAATGCCCCCCCCCCTCAGTGGTGTATTCTCCGTAAACGAGGGCTCAATAATTCTTTCTCCATTACCCCTAGCCTTATTACCGTAGCCTTTGGCAAAATCTGCCAAATGTTCGTATACAGTATATACTGGGGGTAAATCTACCAAATGTTTCACCTTTTATACTCTAATGATAGTGTTCAGAAAAGGACAGTCGAGTGTTCCTTTTTCCTAAATGGTGTTGTTTCAAAGTAATTTTAGTGACGAATGTAATACCGAGGGGGGGGGGGGCTGAGAAGTATGGAACACGCTCCAACCGAGTATTCTCAGCAAACGAGGACTCAATAATTCTTTCACTATTACCCCTATAGCCATCTCACTGTAGTCCATAGGAAAAGTTGTCGGATTTCCCTATATAATATTGTTGTAATATATACTGGAACTATTTCATACCCCCCCCCCCCCCCCCCCCCTGTGTTACTACGCTACAAAAATATTGAACCGTTTATACTCTCGTAGTGGTATTTCTTTCTTGGATGGTGTTTCATAAGATTTTTAACGCCTAACATAGTACCGGAAGGTCTGGGGGGTATAGCAAACAAGGGAATGAATGCATCCCCAAAAGTAAACCCTTAGACAACGAGGACTCAACCATCCCTTTGCTATTATCCCTAATAGCCTTCTCACAGTTGCCTGTGGGAAAAGTTGCCGAATCTCCGTATATAATGTCACATATTCTGGGGGGTATTCCATACCCCTCCGACCCCCCGGTGGTACGATTTCTAACAAAAATCTTGCACCTCTTTTACACTCTATGATATTTTTTCGGAAAGGAGATTCAAATTTGTCTATCCTGGAGGGTGTTTCACAATACTCCTACTGAAGCACGTGGTACACATGAGGGGTGTGGGGGGTGTAATATCCCCAGCAGTGTACTCTCTGCAAACGAGGACTCAATCATTCTTTTTCTATTACCCCTAGCCTCCTCATAGCACCCTCTCATGATAATTTTTGGGAAAGAACAGTCGAATTTTTCTATCCTGGATGGTGTTCCATTACACTTTTGTGAAGAACGCAGTAATACTCCCCCCCCCCCCCCCCCCCCTATTGTGTATTCTCGGCAAACGAGGTATCAATATATATTTCTCTATTACCCTTAGCCTTATCACGGTAGTCTTTGGGAAAATCTACCGAATTTTCGTATACAGTATATACTGGGGGGTATTCCCCCCGTACCGGGGTGTCTGAGAGGTATATGAAGTATTCTCCAGCCAAGTATTCTCAGCAAACCAGGAATCAATCATTCTTCATTATTACCACTAGCCATTTCACGGTAGCCCTTGGGAAAAGTGGCCGGATCTCCTTCTAGAATATTTTAATATATACTGGGATTATTTCATACCCCCCAGACCTCCCCGGTGTTACGACATCTAACAAAAATATTGAACCGCTCATGACAGTATCTGGGAAAGGGCAGTCGAATTTTTCTATCCTGGAGGGTGGTTCATAATACTTTCACTGAAGAACGCAGTACCCAGGGATCTGGGAGTATGGGATACCCCCAGCAGTGTACTCTCAGCAAAGTAGGACTCAATCATTATTTTTCTATTGCCCCTAGCCTTCTCGAGGTAGTTTTTGAGAAAACACTATTATTCCCCCCCCCCCCTCCGTTGTGTATTCTCCGTAACGAGTGCTCAATAATTCTTTTTGCATTACCCCTAGCCTTATCACGGTAGCTAGGATAGGGTGTGTTTGGGTAAGGACAGTCGAATTTTTCTATCCTGGTGAGTGTTTCGTTACATTTTGGTGAAGGGCGTAGTACCATGGGATCTGGGGAGTATACAATCCCCCCCCCGATGAGTACCTTCAGCAAACGAGGGCTCAATCATTCTTTCTCTATTATCCATAGCCCTCTCACGGTAGCCTTTGTGATGGTTTATCGGATTTTCCATTCGTGGATGGTTTTACACTCGGTTTATATCCCCCCCCCCTCCCTCACCCGTGTTACGAAATCTAGCAAAATGTTGCTCCCTTTACACTCTCATGATACTGTTTGGGAAAGTACAATCAAATTTTTCTTTCGTGGAGGGTGTTTTATAACACTTTTAGTAAAGTACTTAGTACCGGGAGGCTAGGGGGGTGGGAGTGGAATACCCCCTAACAGAATATTCCAATCAGGACCCAATCATCATTTTTCTAATACCCCTAGTTCGCCTTCGCGGCAACCTTTGAGAGAAGTTGGCGATTCTCCGTATATTATATATACTGGGAATGCACACCTCCCTCTTGCCCACCCCCCGGTGTTACGATTTCTAACAAAAACGTTGAACACTCTCATGATAGTATCTCGGTAAGGGCTGTCGAAATTTTCTCTCCTGAGAATGTTTCATAACACTTTTGGTAATGAACGGGGGGGGGGGGATACCCCAATACCCCCAGTTGAGTATTCTCAGTAAACGAGGGCTCAATCATTTTTCTCTATTTTCCATAGCCCTCTCACGATCGACTTTGGGATAGTTTTTCGGATTTTCCTTTCATGGAGGGTATTACAATACTGGGTACCCCCCCCCCCCCGTGTTACAAAATCTAGCAACTTTTACACGCTCATGATAGTGTTAGGGAAAAGACAGTTAAATTTTTCTTTCCTGGCTTGTGTTTTGTAACACGTTTAGTGAAGAACGTAGTTCCGGGTGGCTGTGGAGGGGAGGGGGAGGTGGAGTACCCCCTAACAGATTATTCCCAGCAAACGAGGACTCAATCATCCTTTTTCTAAAACCCCTAACCTTTTCGTGGCAGCCTTTGGGGATTCTCCGTATAATATATAATATTGGGAGTATACACCCCCCTGCCCACCCCCCGGTGTTACGATTTCTAACAAAAACTTTGAACACTTTCATAATAGTATTTGAGTAAGGACTGTCGAATTTTTCTCCCCTGGGGGTGTTTTATTACACTTTTGGTGTTAAACGAGGGGGGGGGGGTTCTTACAGATTTTTGGGTTCACTTTTTACGCTTTCTTCTTTTTCATCTTTTTACTGTTGCGTTTACACATCAGATTTCTGTAGGCGCCCTTGCCACGTACTTCATCTATTCCTTTCTACTGACACTTTATTTGGATTCGACCCATGCAAATTTTGTACCAGGAGCAGTAGTATGCCAAGAAGGGTTTGCGCCCCTAATCCACCGAGTACAGTAGAAATCTTGTACAATTTCTTTTTTTTTTTCATCCCCGTCAAAAATATCTTGACTTTATTATGCTTCAAATGTGACAAATCAGGTATTAGGAGCATGTAATGTGCGAGGAGGTGTTTCGGCTGAGTGGTTATCAAACTTTTATAAAACTTCTCCGGTTACCAGGAGACCATGATGAACGATTAGGTCTTTTACCATCACCAACCGAAGTATTTGACATCTAATTTTTCGTGTAACCCCTAATAACATTTTTCTATGGGAATATAATGCGCGAATTTTATACTAGAGGAGACCATGTGGGATGAGAGGGTCTTTTTCCATCATCTGATCTTGCCTTAAACCTTTACAATTAGTCTTTTATTAGAAGAATTTAGTATATTAAAAAGGTGTTTCTGATCCCAATACATGAAGTACACTTAACAAACTCTTGTAAAATTTTTGTTGGTATCAGGAGAACATAGACGATGTGGTCTTTTTCCGTTACCAACGTCAGAAACATTGCAACACCTTGTTTTGACTTAAACTATTACAAACCTATTAGGAGAATATAATGTGCGAGGAGGCGTTTCTGCTCCTAATACACGGAATATTAATTAAAAAACCTTTCTTCCTGGAGAACAGCTTTTATACTCCCTTCAGCTTTACTTCACAAACTCGCTTCCTCCGCCCCAACCCTGGTCTCAACCTTCGCGACTATTCCAGGTTTTTATCACCTCCTTTACTTCATTTTTCCGAACTCGTCCTCATTCCGCAATCTTCCTTTACACCCATTCGCTTTCGTAACCCAATTTCACCAATTTCCCAAACTAGGAAGGGGTTAGTCGGGGAAGTTTTTGAAGGCATTCCGTCTAAGAGTACCAAATGGGAATTCGTGATCTTTTCCAACCCCTTCACAAATAATTAATTCAGTTTTGTGCCCTTAGCACACTAGCTTGTATACGCTCCCCCCTTTTACATCTATTCTCTTCGGTTCTTTTTCACCACCGTTTGCATTCATTCTTCATTTATTTCGAAGCGCGCTCTTTCTTCACGCACTTCTTTATTGAGTAGTCGAAGGTTTTCTGTTACCCCTTCTCTGCTTCGTACCTCCTGCCTCCTTTCGACCACCTCCAGGCTTTTTGCCCCCCCCCCCCCCGTAACATCTTTTATTGGAAAAAAACAATGCGCGTCAGAAACGACTTGATTTTTCGTTGTTGCATTTGATGTGTGGTTTATTTTGCTTCAGGATGCTGCAACAGCCCAAAACGCAAAACATAACTATTATAGATAAATGAGATACAGTATATGAACAAAAGGGGGCGAAAGCTAAGGAAATAACGCCTCGTACTCGAATTTAAGCGTAATCTTATTCGCCATCTCGGTAAAGACTTCCTCGAGCTTCTCCACGAGTGCAGGTTTAATTTCGTCGAAGATCAGGAGGGCGTTATCGTTGATGACGTCGTTCGTCGCCTTGGAAAGTGCGGGATTACCGTCGAAGATGTTCCCTAAAAGTATCGAAACGTGGCCGACTACGACTTTAATCGTCATGTGCTCAAAGAACAGGTAGTTCTTGCCCTCGATGTCCACCTTATCCCCCTTCATGGTGCAGTCGAACCAGTAGTTCGCTGAAATTCACAATTTTGGTTAAGCGTCGCCGAATCGGCACTTACTGATATTGGCGAAGAACGGTCCTTCGCCTTTCACGTCCAGGAAGAGTATTCTGGAGTCCAGCTGGTAATGCGCCTCCACCCTGACCTTGGGGATGTTCACGTGAAATTGGAAGGTGTTGACCGTCTCCGCGAGAGTTACCCTGAAAACAAGCGTGCTTGGTCGCGACGTCTGATCAGCGATGCTTACTCCAGTTTTTGTATTTCAAACTTAGACGCCCCGTAGACTTTGACGTCGGTGAGGTTTGTGGCCAAACGGGATCCGGAACCAATTGAAGCGATCCTCAAGTCCGCAAGCGGAAGCGGTTCCATGCTGGGCACGTCGAGCTCCGGAATTCCTTCCACTAATTTCGGACGTAAAAATTCGATGGAGTCTATTATGCAAGCTGAGAGATTCTGAACCGTATGTTCGCATACCTTTATATATGGCGCTGAAACATGAACACTTACACGGACGGAAAAGAGAACGTTGATCAACAAATTGACGGATTTTGCATGCGTTACTTACGTATTTCGCCTCTAACCATGAGGACCGCACTTAAAAAGATTAGGGATCTCATTGTCATATTGCACGGAATATCGAGGTGTGCACTGCGAACCTTACTACCTATATCTAATTATTTATAAGCAATCCGCAAATCCTTGAGTTCTAAATGAGACCAGTTGTGATAATTAGAAAGAGGTTTATTTATTAATGATTGAGAAAGCATACCTCACAGCCCTTTTTTCGCAATTTCCACCATCTTGTCATTGATTAATTTTTCCATATAATCCAAATTGTTGCTGACGCGTTTAGTTTTTTTTTTGACAGAAATAATGAACGAGATTTGCCTAGCCAACCATAGTATAATTGACGTTATCCTCGAACTTGGAACCTTGCGCGCTGCAGACATTAATATAGATCATTAATTGTCTACCAATTAAAAGTAATAGTAATTAGTGAGGCATGCATGCTTAGTTACATGATGTAATTCGGCTTTGAATTTGACAGCGATCTTTTATCACTTTAGTAGATCTTACTTTAAAATACATTTTTGGGTCCTTTCCGATCCTGGTCCTTTAGCTTATTTTATGACTAAAAGTTCGCATAAACATGGGCCCGCAAGTGCTTCATATTTTGGAACGCCCTGTATAATAGTAATATTATACTGTGGGCGACCCTTAACCATCAGGATCTGCTAGTAGCCAGAGAAATTATACAAGGGTTTGCTAAGTGGTACGGTACCTACCCCTTGTATTAAGGGAAGGAGCACATTTTGTTCTCCTGATACAAATTTTAAGCCAAAGTAAGGTGCTGAAATAAATCTGTGACCTCCTCATCCATTATGTTCTCCTAGTACTCTTAAGAATGTTGCAAGGCTTTGCTTCTACCTCGTGCGAGGAAGAAAGTGGTAAAGTGAATTTGTGGGTGAAGGAAAAATACCACCCCTCAGTCATGTTCTCCTTCTAAATTGGAAAATTTTACCTTATGTTCTCCCGATCCAAGATTTGTAAACGTTTACACCAAAGGAGCGTGTTGAAATAGAGATGATCTCCTAGTCTATTATGTTTTCCTAGTAGATCGTGCTGATACTCCGCTTATTAGGAGCAGAAAGTGCTTTCTAGTTCATTATATTCTCCTGATACAAGGATCTGTGTAAGCTTAAACCAAAGGCAGGTGTTGAATTAAATCCGTGGGTGATGGAAAACACCTCTTCTTCCATCATGTTCTCTCGTTCGCTACTGTACTGTTTTTATTAGGAGCAGAAACACCTCCTCGCACCTTATATTCTCGTGATACAAAATTTGTAGAAATAAAAGGTTAAATTAAATCTGTTAGTGATGGAAAAAACCTCCTCGTCCGTCATATTCTCCCGGTAGAAAAAGATTTGGCCAACTGATACTCTCGTATCAGGAGCATATTCGTACATTTGATTCTCCTGATACTACCTGTGTAAAGCCGAAAGAATGCGTTGAAATAAATTTGTGAGTGATGAAAAAAGACGTCCTCAGTCCTCATTATATTTTCCTGGTGCAGGACGAGCAATACTGTACTAAGGTAAAGTGTTTAAATAAGATTATGGTCCATCTATTACATGCTGGCAGCCAGAAAAGCTTTACAAGAGTGTACTGAAACAGTTTCGGAAGCCTCCGTGTACTAGGGGTAAAAAAATCTCCTCGCAGATTATATTCTCCTGGTACAAGATCTCTACAAGTTTAAGACAAAATAAGGCGAGTGATGGAAAAAGACTTCCTCGCTCATCATGTTATCCTGGTAACTCACATTCTATAAGAAAAATTTTTTTCCGGATCGATCTGAGACAATTTTTTTTTCGGGGCTCAAAAAAAGGCAGTGTATAACCTTCCTTTTTTACCAAAAATCGACTGCACCAAAATTTCTCCGGAAAACACTTTTTCTTATTAATTTTGGTGCGTAGAATCCAAAACAATTCGTACTTTTTCGATCAGACTTCTCAATCAAAAGTTATAGACTAGAAACCAATTTCGAAAAAAAATTCAAAGGGCTGTAACTTTTGAACTAGTAGCCCAATCTTGGAACTGTTTGAAATTATGGATTCTACAGGCCACATTCTATAAGAAAATTTTTTTCCGGGTCGATCTGAGACAATTTTTATTTCGGGCTTCAAAAAAAGGCATAGTATAACCTTCCTTTTTTGCCAAAAGTTTCTTCCCGATGCGAAGATCTCTAAATGAGAGAAAATTGTTAAGTAATAAAATTACCTCCTCCGTCTGTCATGTTCTGCTAGTTGATTTTACATGTTTACACCTCCTTACACCTATTGTTCTCCTGGTATAAAATTGTAAAAGTTCAGTCAAGGTAAGGGTTTGAAAATACTCGTAGATCAGTGGGGTATAGAAAATTACTTCCTCGTCCATTATGTTCTCCTTACATTTTACAAGACCTTGCTGTACTCTGTTATGGAGCAGAAACGCCTTCTCGCTGACCTACATTCTCCTGATACAAGTATTTGTAAAATTATGCAAGAGAGGTGTTTAAGTGAATTTGAGGGTGGTGCATCATGTTTGATAACGGAATACTCGCTTTGTAATTAGGAAACGAAACAGCTCCCTCGCACCTTACATTCTCCTGATATAGGGTTGTCGAGTTTTACATCGCTTTGCTAACTGATATTCCCTGTATCAGGAGCCGAAGTATTTTTTTCGGACTTTATTATTACTCCTACTGAGATGGTTATAGTTTGCTAAAGTAAGGTGTTGGTTATGGATGGTGAAAGGATTTCATGTCTGTCATTTTTACAGGAGTGTGCTTTCATGTAGGTATGTATAAGCACCCCTTTGCTCATTATTTTTTCTGGTTTAAGATCTGTAAAGATTTAAGCCAAAGTAAGGTGAGAAAATAAATCTGTGTTGTTTTTAAAGTTTATCTCCTGTCACTGCGATAAGAAGGAAAATTCAATTAAGTTTCAAGATATACGATTGGGACACTTTTCATTTGTAAAACTTTATTATTCGATCTGCCTCCCTAAATCCCGTCTCGATTGCGCCGTTTACCAGGGCGCCGTAAAACGAACTGGTCGCCTCTCCCGCGAACAAGAGCACCGGCTTCCCCACATTCGTCACTATCGGTTCGGACAACACGGCGGACTGGGGCGCGCCCAGTTTCCGAGACTCGACGGTTTCGAACGAGTAAGTTCCGCGAAAGTGAGGGTCACTGTACCAGTTTTTCCTGCGAAAACCAAACGATCACTCTCACCTTCCACTTTCGGCCCGCTTACCTTAGTATTTTATCGGGCCGAGTAAGGTTCGGGTAGTCCCGCTTCACAAATCGCTCCAGTGTGTGCATCAAACCGTCGGCGATGATTCGGTCGGGGAGGCGCTCGATTTCCGGCACCATTTCTCCGCAGTACCACGCCAGGAGGAGGTTCGGATTTCTTTGGACGGGAAGAATGCCGTAAATTTTCGTGATCCACGATATGCTACCCTAAAAAGCAATGATTCAAATGGAACATTAGTAAAGAGCCATAGAGGGATGTTCAAGCATTTTTGATAGGCTTATACAGTGCTTAAGAACCGTTATAAGAAAATAGTTAAAAGAAGAATCGAACGACTTTGAGAAACCAAAGGATTCAAATTGGCCCGATCCATCATAGTTCTAGGAAGTAATAAATTAACGAAATGGACATTTAACTTGTAAAGAAAGCGCTCGGGAGGGCAGTCAGTAAAATTCCTTGGTAGAGTAGGTCTCAATCTATCCGAATAGTAATAAAGAATTAGCAGTTTAACTTTGGGTCAAAACTTACTTAAAGTAGCGAGGCCTCCTACACTTTGAGTACGTCGACAAATTGCGGGTTACCTGCGAATAGAAGAATTGCCGTAAATTCCGGGACGAAAAACACTTTTTAGAAGCTTGGTTCGTAGCAAGGCCTTTTATTTACGAGTGGCAAAATATCCGCGAAGGAACATTTTCGAATCGGAGAACTACTTTCCAAAAAAATGCCTCCTTAATCCGTTAAAGAACCTTTGAAAGCCTTGGGAGGGTCTATAAGGGCCTCTAATTAACTTCTTAACTTAATTCCCCCCATGCCGGCTTTTCAGCCAGCTGGCATGGCATAGTGGTGCGGCTACGGCACAGAGGGTGCGTGGTTCGAGTCCGGTTTCGAGCATGAATTTTTTTTAAATCTTCGCTACTTAAAAGTTACCTGGTGGGGCCCTTCGCCGAACACCCGTCCTGAGTTTTGCAAATCCTCCGCGTTCCACACGAACTGTACGCCTTGGAAATCGTCATTCCACCACCTGCGTGGGAAGTGGATGAAGATTTTCGCAACGGCATCGAATCCCAAAGTCTGTATGGACCTGATCTTCCTCTCGGGGAGCTTCGGCTGGAAAAGTGACAAGTAATCGCGCTTCAGGACTCCGAGCGACGGTGTCCAAATCACGTGATCGGCGTTATACCTAGCTCCATCCGCGCAACCCACCAAGGCACCGCTCTGGGGTGTCAGGGCGATTTTGCGCACCTGTTTATTTAGAAAGACACTGTCGCGGATTGGAGCATCCTTCATCAGGACGTCTAAAATGGTTTTGTAACCCAATCCATTCCAGCCCAGGTGCTGGTTACCGGCGGAAATTTTGTGCTCACTGCGCGTCGATAGTTGCCTCCAGGAGAACACTGCAAAATAAGATTCTATTTGCCTCCGAAGCAAATCCAGGCACTCCCCTGCCAAGATCTGTTCTTTGTCACCCGTCCAAGTCCGCCCAATTAAGGCCCTAAACCTGAAAGCAGAGGTTAAGGGGAAGACTTCTGGTGCGCGCTCACCTTTCACTCAGAAAATCGCCCATATTCCTTCCTTCGGAATTGTTGCCAACGAAAGCCTGTTGAAATACCTGGTTCAGCTTCGTCGAGAACTCCCAGTCGACTCGTTTCAGTCGCGAATGGTACAAGGACGGGGAGTGCTCGTCGTCGGTTAACAGACGAAGATCTTTGACCATCTCGTAGACCAAATTGTTTTGCTCCCCATGGCACCACTGCGCTCCAAGGTCGACGAAGCTCTCGCCGAATTTGACGCTGTGAATTCGACCGCCGATGCGATCGCCCGCCTCCAGAATTTTGACGTTTGCGAAACCGTGCCGGTACAATCGCGAGGCCGCCGCAATTCCTGCGGCGCCCGCCCCGATGATCACTATTTTGGTACTGTTGTTGCCAATGGCACCTGAAAGGAGGCCGAAGTAAATCGTCGCGAAGAGTATGAGGCGCATGATTGGCAATTTTTTTAGATCTAGAGCGTTGGGTTTCTTTGTTTTCACACCTACTGCAGTAGATAAAAGATAAAGTGGACACTCAATATTTGGGTTAAGTGGAAGAGCACTATCGGTTATCTGCCTCTTTCAAAATGGCGCG